ACCACTTTCATGTATTTCTCTCCCTCTCTGTATCCCTGAAATAATAACTATTCTTAGAGCACAGGGACAAATTCAGTGGAATAAGATGATGTATGTGAATTCCAGGATGCAATCGACTTATTTCTTGGCAATTTCAAAATCGATCCTAACAATCTGCCGACTACACTGGAAACAACCGTGCTAAATTTTGACTATCACGGTGGCGCCATTGTTGGGACAATTTTTGCAGCCGCTATGACCATCCTTTGTGTTCTGGTGGCTGGTATGTCATTAAAAAATTTTTGGAAATTTCAATATTCTCTGTGTGTATATATGTATGTGTGTGTGTGCACGTGTATATATATATATGTGTGTGTGTTTGCGTGTATGTGTGTGTGTGTGTGTGTGTGTGTGTGATAAGGGGAGAAAATTGAACTGTTTTTGGTATTTCGGTTTTTGTATGAAACAGAAAAAACTTGGAAGTGAAATGAATGATTTTTGCGACCAGCAGCGCCATCGGCTGACCAAAATTTCAATGTAATCTTTGGTGAGCTTTGAACTTTTCAATTTTTGCAATTTTTGTCAATTTTGATTTCAGAAAATACATCAGCAACGGTATTTTGGCTGATAATTTTCATGGCTTTAATGCTCTTCATATTTTTCAATGGCGAAGAATTTGTTAATAAACCACGGTTGAAAGTTGACTGAAAAAATCGTGTGTGTGTGTCAGTGTTGTTTGTTGTTTCTTCGATAGTATATTGCTGTTGTTGTTTGTGACATTTGTTAGGAATAAACATATATGCTACTGTTGATTCGGTTCAATCGCTGCTTGAACTGGATTTATTTAAATGGAACTAATAAAGCATGATCAAATTTTTTGAGCAATTTATGAATAAAACTGGTAAGAAAAAATCGGTGCCATTTATTGTTTTTTTTTTTCTTTTTTTTTTTTAAACTCTTTCAGAATGGCCGAATTCCGCCGTTTTACATTACTTCTCCTCCCCTACACAACTTCTAAATTATTTGTTGCATTTAATTCGTCAGCGTTTAGTCAGTTTGTGAATGTTTTTTTCATTATACAAATTTTTTTTTTCAATATTTTTTCATGATACATTCTTTTATCATGTGAGTCCATAATGATATTACTTCAGACGCTTGATAAAATCAATTTTTTTCTCCCAGAATATTTAGAAATGCAATGATTTTTTTTTTCTTCTATGACTTACGCATTAACAAGTCTTGGTTTTTTTTAAGGGTTCGATGTTGGCGGGAGGGTGTTGTAAACTCCGTGCTTGGTTCTGCTGGACACAATGTTAGGTACAGTGAAAAACTGGGCAGATTATCGCTTTTAGTGATTGCTCTCGCTTATTCTGATCATTTCATTATTGATTGTGTAACAGATCACACAATAATGTGTACTAAAAAATATCAATTTTGTTGCTGTCATCAGGTGAAATATACTGCACTGTTCTGTTGCTACTAACCGAGGCAGTACGAGGCGGACATGGACAGTAGGAGGCATCATTTCCGGGA